CATGAAGTACTCCATTACTTCTGTCGTCCAGCGCGTTCACGAAGGTTTCGTGAACGCGAACATTCCTTGTGCGGTGCCGGTGGGCGTCCATTGCCCGCACTGTTCTCCTGGTGCTCCCCGCATCGGCGAGAGAGACCTCACCGGGTACACGACTAACCGTGTACCTGCAAACGTTAAGGAGCTACGTGCTAAGCTCGCTTGCACGCGTCAGCATCCTAGTGTTGTGCCAGAGCACATCACCCCGCGAAACACTGCACCCCGCAGTGTTACGCCTCCAGTCCGTGGTGAGCTTCGTACGCCTTCACCATTTCCGGAACGTCCGTCATCAGGACGTTTCGGTGAAACCACGTATCTCGAAGGAGACCCGATTGCCTCCAACGAATACGAAAACGAACCGGACCTCGGTTCACCTTCGGACTGGTATGGTCAACAATCCGATCCACCTCGCGGTGGATCGTACCGCGGACAGAGTTATGCTTCTGTCGGCAGTGCTGGACGCTCCTCATATGGTCGACCCCGGGATGACCACGGGCTTCAGGCGCTCCACGCCCGCGTGGAGGCTCTTGCGACGGTTCAGGCTTCTGAGAGCGCTGAGTTGAGACAATAGCTGAACTTGCAGAAGACCTGCGTGGCTGAAGCCGCTCCGCTTCAAACATCCGTGTTGAGGTGTCGGAACAAGTTCGCCTTCTCCGGGAGAAGGTGAAAAGCTTGGGGAGAAGCTGAGGACGCGCTGCGCGTCGTCGTCGGCGAGTCATCACGACTAGATGACTCGGGCTGCACGTATGGCTTCAAGCGCCCAACGTAGAACGTTGGGTAGAGTCTCATGTCGGAAGGAAGTTCCAACGTGTATGCGCTGCCGTGACGTTCTGTCACTGTGAACGGCCCAATGAAGGGAGGAGCAAGCTTGCTTGCTCCGAAACTAGAGACTGCATGAGTAGGCAAGTTTTCAGTAGATAACAAAACCAATGAACCAATTTTGAATTCATTTGTATTACCCCTGCCAACATTGTCTGCGTTCAGCTTCTGCATATCCGCAGAAGCTGCAATTGCATCTTGTACAAATCGAACGACTGTTTGCCGTTCGTGGACAAAGTCCATTGCTTGAGAGCTGGTTTGGAGTCGGGTGTTCACGTCTTGTAATGTCTGAGCCTTGTGTTTCAGACCCTCCTCCACGTTGCGAAAGAAACGAGTCCGGGCCGCCATTGTCGCAGAGCTTCGGTGCTCAACATCTTGGACATGATGGTACCAGTACTGGTACATGGCTGTTCACTCACATTCCAAAGCGTGATTCGTATCCTGGAGCCAGAGGGCGTGGTCCGAAGTCTTGTTCGCGTCCGGACGCTGAAGGTGATCTTGAAGGTCTCGAACCTTGACGAGAAGGCGTCTCAAGAATGACATAGTGTTGTATACGTGCTCTGCAATACGTTCTGAGGAGAAGTGGGCCAAAATTGAAGCAACCTCCCGCTGAACGAGGGAAGAGCGAGCTTCTGTGGTCCGTTCCTGAGCCGTCAGAGCGTAACTACGTAACTGGAGTAGAAAATCTAATGAATCACGGCCCAGCAGTCCCTCCAAGTTCGCGAGATCCTCCGAGCACAAACTCTCAAACAAGAGAGGAGTCTCTAAACCGCCGCACCCGTCATACATCCTCGGCCTGCGCTGCAGGGAGGTTTCTGTAGCCGGAACTCCAACAATATGACGAGGGAACCCCGACGTCATGACGCTCAGCCGCCGAATCAAAGCTAGGCGGGACGTCCCAGCTCACAGGAACGACCGATGCCCCCATGGAAAGCGACGTTGTGGACGACGGGATGATCCTCGGTAGGCAGATCCTGTCGAATTCTGCAATGGAGAGAAAGTGTGCTCCACCCAGCACCACGCTCGGCGCGGGCTGCGACGAAATTGAAGGGCTCTTAGAGCGATGTGTGTCTGCAGTGTTCCCGACCTTACCATCAGGCAGGGACTTCTCGACGTTCTCCTCCTCGGTGCCGCCCTTCTTGACTGCGGGCGGATCTTTCTCCACGTCGTTGGTGTCGCTCATCCCCCCGTTGCCACCGTTGCCAGGCATATCAGCGCCTGTCGGTGCGTCTGGCGCGTTGCCGTCGTTGTCATGAGGGACGTTACCATCGTCCACGGTAGCTGCTGCATCCGACCCCGGGCCGCCAGAAGCGTCTGAGGTGTGCGCACCGTCGCCGGCAGGTGGTGGTGCTAACGTCGCGATGGCCATCTTATTCAACAGTTGGAATCGTCGATTGTTTGATTCGGAAAGGTCAGAGTCTTGATGGGTGCCTCGCACTATGTGCGATTGTTGATCATCGTTCCGGATTGGGTCAGGCCCCAAGCGACTGGACGCAGAAACGATACGAGAAGAGACGGACACACCGATCCAGAGTGTCTAATTTCAGACACCGGTGGTTCGTAGTCCACTCTGAAACCGTGATACCTCGTGGTCCCGGACATGGCTTGGCACCGTGGAAAATTCCACAATAACCAGTCATGGTCAGGAGGGGCGGTTGTGATGAGGCAGTTTCCCAGTTTTCAGAATAGACTGATTTTGGAGTGCGACAATGGAGATCCGGAGATATTGATTGGTGGAGGTGAAGCAGATGGTGCGACAATTGTGGAAAAAAAGTTGGATGTGAGTGGTGAGTTTGTGAAGAGCCAAGGATGGACCCTTAGGTTCCGGAAGCATGCGTTTCAGTGATGTACACTCAGAAACGTACATGTGCTGGTTTGGGAGCCGCCCCCGTATGAACATAGGTTGCCAAGAAGAAGCTTAAATTGTCTGCGTGATCGTTTGGCGACAGATAACCTGTATTGCCTTGGTTCAAGCACCGAATACCATCAGCTCAGACTATAACAACTTAATACACCGCAAGACACCCCAAGAAAATTATGAATTTCAATGAGTGGATTATCCAGAGCCCAAGAATACTGTGTGAATATGTTATGACTGCGATGGAATGCGAATGGACCCACAAAACAACGTTTCTGACTCTCATAAGTCTGAAACAAGTCTCTTCCTAGAGAATTTGGATCTCGTTCCAGACATTTCAAGCCTGGTTTCAGAGATCAGCGACTACCATAAGCATCATCAAGCTACCAAGACACTAGAACAACAAGCCTAGATGTCGTACGACTGTGAGTTGTATGTGAGATCGAGGATCATGTGGAGAGAGGATCAGTTTCAGAGCAGAAGAGACGACCCGAAGGCGTGGAGATCCAAGTTTGACGACAGCGAAGTACACCCATCCTATACAAAGCCAAGTTAATTCCCCCAAAGGTGTACAGAACACAAGGTATTACCATAATGATTTAGAAAGAAGATAGCCGAAGTATAAGAGTGATAAACAGAGTTAGTTTTACCGAGTTAAGCGCATGTCGAATTAGTTCGGGGACCCGCAAACGAGGGCGCGTGCTGAAGGACGCCGCGTACTTCCTCAGAAGTTTCAAGTCCAAATTGTCAGTGGGGATCGGGCGTGACGGCGTTGCAGAGTTGATCCACGGCATTCCATTTCCCAGTTGGGCCCATTGAGTGAAGGTAAGGGTGGGGTTCCCATTTCATGTTAACGATCCTGCTTGAAGGGTTTAGTAGTCCCCTGCAAGTTTATAAGTAGACTGCACTTCAGAGATTTGATAGTATTGTATCCCTCTCAGAGGGTGCGCGCGTGAAGAGAAGAGTGCGCTTCAGACTGACCAGTGTCTAAAGCGTATACTCAGTTGTCTGGTGATAGACCCCCGTTCAAGGGTCTCAAAAAAATAAGTAACGGCTGTAAATTTGTATATTTTAATCTGTATTTTACAAGGGAGTGTGTTCTGGGGCTTTATTTCTAGTCTAATAAAGGTGCGTTTCAGACAGTAAACGTCCAACCCGACACTCTCAGTGCCTACATTAACTATCAACCTGGCAGGTTGTCAGGCTGCCACCAAGATCGAACCCAAAGGGATTCACAACGGCCACACGTCGACTCTGGAGTGCTCGCGTTCTAGAGTTTCTGACCCCAGTACCAGAGAGTTCTCTAATTCTACGGACCCCCTGGACTACCGCACTATACACTTGCGGCGGAAAAGGTTCACCGACCTCGCCACACATGCGCATCAAGCCCGGTCAAGAAAAGACAGTCGATGTGTTCGAGGAGGGAGAGCCCGAACCAGAACCCTAACCGTCGATCTTGGGACGACGATCATACGTCGACGACATCCTCGTGACTGGAGACACGTGGGATAGCATGTGCGACAAGGTCGAAAATCTGCTAGACGTATGCGATCGCTGGAACCTATCAATCAGTGTAGCCACAAGCTACTGGGGCAGGCGCAAGGTGACCTACCTGGGCCATCAATTGTCGACAGAAGGGTTGGAAGCGAAGCCGAAGGATCTTGAAGCCTTCTCGAATCTCCCTTTCCCCACCGAACTGAAGTCGATGCAGTCGCTCCTTGGAAGCCTGAATTACTACAGCCGCTTCATCGAGGACTTTGCAGTCTACGCATCGATCATGTACGAGCTTCGGGAGGTAGATTACTACCAGATCGCGCGGTTGAAATCGACCGGAGAGCCGGAGGAAGGGACAACACCAGCGGACGAGGAACGCAATCGCTGGACGCGAGCAATGAGTGCGTTCACCATACTCAAAGCGAAGATCATCTCCACCCCGATCTTGAAGAACTTCGATCCGGGGCGGACGCCAATCATAGTCCTCTATGCTAACAAGTGGGCGATCTCGGCGGCAACTAATGAAGGAACACGGCGGTGTGTATTGGCCAGTAACCTTCACCAGTCTGACGCTGAAGGCCAACGAGATGAACTATTGCGATCGTAGATAAGGAGGTCCTGGCTTTTCTTCGCATGTTGGACGTCTGCTACTCGCAGCTGGTCACCAGATCGATCAAGGTGCTATCGCGTTTCTCCACGCTAGCCTGGCTCCTGAAGTCGAATGAGCTAGACGGGCGTTTGGGCAGGTGGGCCGCATTGTTGTCGGGTTGGACGTTGTAAATTACGAAGTATTCCAAAGGTGAAGAAGAAACCTTAGGGGAGATCGCTGCGAGTATCACTCCTCGAGCAGAAGGTGACGAGGCTCTAATCGCAATCGCCCCAAAGAAGCAACCCCGGAAGATGATCGCCACGATTCCTCCAACCGTAGAGCTGGAAGAGAGCCTGTTGGTGGCGAGTTTTGATGGATCAGCGAGAGTGAAACGTGCAGGAGGCGCATTCAGCGCGATCCTCTGGAAACTCCCCGAGTGGACGATCCTCGAAGCGATGTCTGAACACATGCCTGTTTTGACAGTGAATGAGACGGAGTACAGGGGATTGCTGCTGTGTTTCGATCTCCTCTCGACTCAAGCCAGGGGGCGAGATGAGAGGCGAGATCGACTGTAAGGCGACAGGTCTGCAGCTGTTACGTCAAAAGGCTTTGAACCAACTGCGATCTTGGCCGAAGCACGAATTCGTACACGTAAAGAGAGATTGGAACCAAAGTGCCTACAAGTTCGCCAGTGTCGCCTTACAACGTGAAGAAGGCGAGATCGTGACAGCAGAGGGAGAACGTCAGGGCTTGATCACGCTGAACAGATTGCACGAAATACTGCAACCAAGATCAGCCAGATCAGTAACTCGCGTGAATGCAGTCTCTCGATCTGCGGTAAATCGGACTTCGCCACCAGCAGCGATGGATGAATCTATTGTTCGACGCATACGGAGTCAGCGGATCAAGCAAGCACAAGACGAAGAGAAGTGGATCGCAGGTCTAAAGGAGTACCTGAACGGTGACCTGAATGGTCTATCGAAGGAAGATGCGAAGACGTGTTCAAAGATCGCCGCAACATATGAAGTCGACGAAGACGGACTGTTGTTTTATTGCCCGAGGACATTGACACGAGATGAAGATCGCGACGATACCGTCAGACTGGTGGTGTCGGAAAGCTTGCAACAGGATTTCCTCCACCATTACCACACGAGCCTGGAAGGAGGCCACCAAGGTGTCGGGAGACATACCGTAGAATCTGGACGCGTTTTCACTGGCGTAATCTGTACCGAAGTGTCCAGCGCTACGTAAAGGAATGCACTGATTGTGAGACAGGGAAAAAGAACCCCACAAATCAAGGAAGATCGCCGGGGAATATGCAAGGTACGTACCCGTTCCAGGTCATATCCATGGATCACGTCCCGTCGCTACCGAAGTCTTCAAAGGGGACACGGAGTTACTGATCTGGGCTGACCTGTTCACCGGATACGTGATCGCCAAGGCTGGACCATCGCGGGGAACCCAAGTGGTGGCGGAAACCTACGAGGAATGTGTCTTCAGGCGGTTCGGTGCATGTGAAACATTCAGGCACGATCGAGAACCAGGCTTCATGGCAGATTTCTTCCGCGCGTTTAATCGGATCGTGAAGATGAGGCAAAGTCCCACCATGGCCTACCGCCCACAGGGTAATGGAAAAGCGGATCGAACGGTCCAAACACTGACGAGAGCGCTGAAGATGTATATCTCCGATGTCAATCAACAGGACTGGGATGACTACGCCGAACGCTTGACGTTTGCTCTCAACACGGCGCAAGATCGGGTGCGTGGGGACACATCCTTTTATCTGGTGCACGGGTGGGACGCAAGATCAACGCTGGAAGCAACGCTTCCGATCGGATCCACAAGGCGGAAGGACAGCGATGCGCGCCGGTGGAGGTATCGTCTGCAATCGCAATATCGACGAGCGAGAGAAGTGGTGAATAGCGATCTCCGAAAGGCGATAGAAACCAGAGCTGCCTAACTATCGAGTTAGGCCGGACAAGATCGAGCAAGGATCACAAGTATGGCTCTACCTGGACCGGGTGAAGGAAGGGTTCGCGAGGAAACTGGCCCACATGTGGCACGGTCCTTTTCGTGTGACCGAGCTCATCGGTGATCATGCCGCACGCGTGGAGACTAGTGGAACAGAATACCGCACCTTCCCTGTGGTGCACCTGTCGAAGTTGAAACTGGTGAGGGCGTTCCCCGACCGCCCAACTTGCACCCTGCTCGTCGAGGAAGGAGATCGAGTCGACTTTGATGAATCGCTGCTTCCGGAGGCCAACTGGGAGACTCCTTTGGGCGAGGACGAGTTCGAGGTGGAGCGGATCACCGAGGACGCTGCACGCGATATGGCCGCGTATACCGAGAGTTCCAAGTGTTTTGGAAAGGCTATCACAAACCCACGTGAGTGGATGAGGCCGACCCCAACTGTAGGGCGCTCTTGGCTGAGTTCGAACGAACTCAAACGAACCGTCGTCGGTTCAACGTCATGCAGGCGCACGAAGAGGCGTCGGACAACTTGTAACCGAGAGACGGTGCAGGCGGAGAGAATAATAATGTGCAGGATGGGTGCACATTAGGTGGAAGGTACATGTAAATGTATACAGTCATGTTGAACTAGTTAGCCGAACCCAACGGAGGATCGCTACAAAAGGTGGAAGAACGAAGAAGTGGGTAGATCAAACCCGCGAGCAGAGCCAAAATTCAGAGATCGCCCAGACGGACGAACTTGCCAGGCAATCGGGGAAGCTGCGATCCAGGGGGATCTTGAATCTCGGCGCGATATTGATTGCGTCAGGGTTCTGCAGCGTCTACCTTGCGCAGCGCTTGAAACAGGTTGGTGGGTTGCGTGTCGTAGCCCAACCCTGGATACCACACGGAAGTCTCCTCACGCCGAGGAAACTGCAAGAAGTACGGATCGAGAAAGATGACCAAGGCACACACTCCAGCCTCGATGCAGCGCAACCCGTACGGCAGGAATTTTTTCCATGCGGCCAACCAAGCACATGAAGTGTTGATGCTCGTGCTACAAGACGATAATGTGAGCATGGGTATATTTGTGTGACTCAATCGCGAACGAATATGTTGTACATGAACGCAACATACGGAACGCAAGGGTAACGTGTAGGAATGGTTATGCCTTTGCCGCAAGGTTATATCACCCTTGATATCAACCACACCCGTCTTCCTCCAGTCGGTACTGTGTCTATATTTGGATGTCATCTGTACATAGCCGGTTTGATGCACCAACTGCGGGGCAGAGAACCGGTGGTCGAGAGCCCACTGCGTACCTCAATTCCAGCTCAAGCAAGTGCTGGGAACGCCGGGCGTCGGGTGTGCCTGTCGGCATGAAGTAACCGATATATCGCGCCTCAACATTGAGTTGCAACAGACTCAGCAAGCGTACGATGACTTGCGTCGATGACCCATGGCACCATTCAGGTCACAGATGAGTGCGTGTTGTGCGCTCAAAAAAAGCAGGTGGAACTGAAACTTAAGGAGGGATGCCATCAAGCCTACCCTAACGGACTATGGTGCGCACCGTATGTTTTGACAAATGTAAACAACCATGCAGGTGAAGTGGTGGTGCTCGCGCTACTAGGCGATAGTGTGGGCATGTGTATATTTGGGTGACTCTATCGCGAACCAATGTGTTGTACATGATCCCAATATTCCGAACGCAAGGGTAACGTGTAGGAATGGCTATGCATTTGCCGCAAGGTTATATCACCCTTGATGTCAACCACACCCGTCTTCCTCCAGTCGGTACTGTGTCTATATTTGGATGTCATCTGTACATAGCCGGGCTGATGCGAGGCAGAGAACCGGTGGTCGAGAGCCCACTGCATACCTCAATTCCAGCTCAAGCAAGTGCCGGGACGCCGGGCGTTGGGTGTGCCTGTCGGCATGAAGTAACCGATATATCGCGCCTCAACATTGAGTTGCAACAGACTCAGCAAGCGTACGACGATTTGCATCGATCGACACATAACACGATTCAGGTCACAGATGAGTGCGTGTTGTGCGCTCAAAAAAAAGCAGGTGGAACTGAAACTTAAGGAGGGATGCCATCAAGCCTACCCTAAC